ACGAACACTCATGGCTTCCATACAGTACACCCTGAGCGACCAACCCGTGCACCGACAAATATGATCCAAGAAATATAGCGAAGGTATTTACATTTTATTTTTATCATTTAGGCCTAAATAAATTAATAACTCAGGTTTAGAAAACAAGGTCACACGCCTAAGAATTTCGGACAGGTATGCTAGTTAGTTATGCAAATCCCACCATATTTTCATCATCTGTTCTTCATATTATTTTATTATATTATAATAAAACGTGTCAGGTCTTAGAATAAAATGTCTCGCTATGATGATTATTCCTTAAAATAGCCTCTATTTCTTGACACTATGTATGTAGTTTAAGAATGTAGTGTTATGTATACTAAATACTACATACTTATGTTAGTATTCGTAATTTTGTCTATTGTAATAATATTCAACCCAAGCAGTCCACTTTCTGATTCTTCTGAAAATAAATCCTTAATTTTCACACTATTTATTGGAGGGGGAAAGGCCGAATGCCCCCTCCCCCAAGTATTATTTTTAGTCAATTCTCTTTTTAATTAACCGTACGTAAGTACATTGGTTACTTAATATATGCATGTCACCGGTGGCGCCTTAACCGTTTTCGCACATTTCATTTCCAGTTCGTTGGACAAGTTTCTTCCAGACTTTTCGGGGGGGGGGGGGGGGGGGGCTCCCCTTAAATTGGATATAAGTTTTTCCAGTATGGTCACATCCACGGTCGCAATAAATATAACTTAATTTGAAATTTGCTTATATTTAAAAAATAGAAGTTATTTCCTGGTATAACCTCTGCGGCCTGCCTCGTAGTTAAAATTAAGTCACAGCTTGTGTAACTAAATAATGCATTTAAAAAGTGAGGTAAGAAATTACAAGAAAATACACTTATCACAAATGCCGTTTATTTAAGTTTATTATAAACATCCGTGAAATAGAGGCCTATGTGTTAAGCCTACAGTTACAGCCAAAGTCATCTCATTCGTATCTTTACTTGCAGTTCATACAGTTGATACACGCTTGTCAGGCAAGAATTTACCAATTGATTAAACTAAAGAGAACTTTTGACATTCCATCGCAAAATATCTAGGTCTAGTTTGACTAGGCTCAAGCCTGGTGAGACACCATGTCCCTAACGTAAGTCGCCAGCACTAGTAGAGGTCCTGCAACGGTTAGACACCCAAACGATCAGATGGGCCAGGCCACACACTCGCGTGTCAGGTGTTTTCATGAACCAACGTGTTGCTAATTCTCAGCCCCGTCTTGTAAGTAATGGCAATATACGGACTGCACTAACATAATGTTATACGCTTGTGATGCTTCAGAAATCAGTCTGAAATAGATAATTCCAAATAATGTATACATTTTAGAACAAGATTGAAGAAATTAAAATGCAAACTACAACAGCACATATTTTTTCACGCCATTTGAAATGTGTATCCTATACATCAATATGAAGAAAGTACGTACAGGATACTTATTGGTCTATTTGATAAATTATAATGTTATCAGGGATCAAGGAGGCCTATGCATTAGAGTACAGGGGAGTTTAGAAACAGTCCTGTGTACATCAAAATGACTGCAGGTATGAATTTAAAGACCTTAAACTTGAATTAAAAGGTTTTATCAAAAGTTTATAAATAATTCAGGAGAATTCCTTAATTATACATTCCCTTGTCACAGAGCTGCAATAATCAAAATGGGAGGCTTTTGATTTATGTCTATCAACCACCAGGACTGGCTGTGGAATGTCCTTAGTAGCAGGAGACAAAGCAATCCAATATTTTTTTAAAACCTGCAATTATCCATCAAATATCCAAAACTTGATGAAGAAAAGTTTCTAAGGTGGGATTCCTTTAAAAGAGAAATCTGTTGTCGCTGTAAATAATAGCCAGAAGCACTTGAGCACGCCACTACGGTCACTCGGGTTTTTGTACTGGAGGAGACCTTGTAGACATGTTTGGCACCCGTCCCGGTCATCACCTTCAACTTTTCATATTGAATGCAAACAGCACTGAATATCTACCAGGGCTGTTTTAAAGATCAGGATCAACACACATATGTGGCTTATGTCAGATTATAGTTTTGGTTGCTAGTTCTGGCTGTCTTTTAAGGAACCTATAAAACCAATTGTTGTCAGGTGTTATCATTCACATGCGCTGGTGAGTACAATAAGGTCCATTCTGTTAAACTCTCTAGCATTCAAGTTTCAGCTAAAGAATTGCATGTTTTCATTAAATTTAGGCATATAAATCTGCTAAGCAATTAAGCAAATAAAAAAAAAACACAGGCAGTTAAAATAAAGCAAGATAATTGGCGGCGGGGGGGGGGGGGGGGGGGTGGGGGGGTGGAGACAGGACTATATGCATGGACATACTTGACTTTACTGGGCAATTTGAATGTAATTAACTGAAGGGTTACAAAAAGGGTGATTGAACATTTGATCACAGGTGCTTTGTTAATATAAAACTTACAAGGGATAAAAAAGCGGCATATTTATATTTTAAGGTGTCATGTTAATTGTTATATGATTATTCATATTCCTCATAATACATAAAAATATTTTTACAGAACTTTATATTTAACCATTTAAAGAAAAATTGTTATCCTTTGAGTTAAACAGATGTATTAATATACTTGCTCACAATTGTACATCTATTAAGTAATCAACCATTAGAGTATTACTTTGCTGGCTATATATTATCAAAGAACATGCTGCTATATCATTTAAATTTAATTGTGGTTTTTATTTTCAAGAAGATCTACACTATTTATTTTTGAAATGTTTTACTGTTACACTGTTTACTTTTTTAGAACAGGGTCAACTTAAAGGAAACATTTCATAGAAAATTTGATCAGTTAAAATAAACTAAAGATTTTTGTTTTTTTTATTAAACTACATGTGGACAAACGACCTATGGTCCAAGCCCCATACACACCTAGGACAACAAAAAGGACATACTAATTTATTAATGTTACATGCCAGCACATTTTTTAATAAAATATTAAACAGGGCAACAATAGTAGTTGAGTTCTGTTTTTCAAGCTCTTTAAAATAACTTCTGGACTTACAGTTACAGTACATTTACTTTCACATTTATTTCTAAAATATTTACTGCACTATCAACATTGTGTAAATAGAAAGTCCTTAAAATGTGAAACAACTGCTAAGATCATATCTAAAAGGCCACAACAACAGCCCTGTCAAAAAGGCTGGCAACGAATGCTTGAAATAGCCCCCTTTGAATACGCTCCTGTCATTAAGACAAAGGGCCTCCATCAATACAATTCCCTACAAGCTGCCCTATGCTCTTCGATGTAAGCTTAGCAAAAACCCTGTTTGTAGCTCATGGTCGGCAGGCTGCGGGAATTTAGGTGGATTTCAAATGTTTTCCTGAATTGAAATTCAGTCCAAGTTTTCCCCATTTTCATTAAAATTTTCAACAAATATAATTTAAAAAAAAAAACATAGTAAAATGTAGCTGAACTAAAGTCGCCCAACCCCGGTTTTTTACCACTACCTCAGGTGTATGAAAGTGTGTTTTTAATTCACCTTATCTTTATTAAACTGTTAGCAACCACCTCTCTATTTCCTGCTGTTTTCCATTTGATTTCAAATTCATTTTGAAATCCTTGCAAAATTAAAGGTGACTATGAGAACAAGACTAACCCAACCCTCTTGGATCTCATTGTCTAATCACATCAACTGAAAAGTTGAAATTACACATTAGGATCTTTACTGTTGAAGGATTACATTTTTAAAATGTAGATACCATGTCCATCTTCAAAAAGGTATGACATAGTTAAATTGGAAACAAAGTGTACAAATAGATCATATGTTAAAAACTCTAGGTGTTGTTGAATTGTGATTTAAAAAACTGTTTATGAGGGCAAAAATTAAAAAGGACTTCCTGTGTTAATATAGAGTAAAAGAAACTATATGCAACTACATTAGCCTTAGTAAGGTAATGATACTACTTTATTGCAATACATTAGAGGTGCATAAAGCGGGAGCCTGATGTTTTTCAAAAATACACTTGCCCGAATGCAGATTTCCCGAATGGTCACTTGCCCTGAATGTGACAAATGCCCGAATGGACACTCATGTCTTCTGCATATGATGGGATAGTGTAGTCAGCATTATGCCCAGCCAGCTTAACTTTCCCTAATGCTAAAGTATGTCAGTTACCCATAAGAGTTGGTTGGATTCAGGGACATGCTACTTTAGACTGATGGGACAAAACAAACACTACTATTCAAACATACCACCCCCTACCATTTTAAATATTTTGCTTCACCTAATTTTCAATATCAAGACAAAAAAGTATAAAATGCAAAAGTAGCTGAGGCATAAAAAAAAAAGATTGCAGTTAAGATATTCAATAGCTAAGCTGCGTGCAAGCATTACTGTTGTATGTGAAATCAAAGTGATCCTGATGAAAATCCAGGTCTAAAGGTGATGTTAATCATGTTACCTTTAATGAAAGGCTAGTAGATGCATCCTGCTTTTAATACCTGAAGATATATTTTATTGGCCCAGATAACTTGTTTACCAGAATCTGAAAAAAATAAATCATCAGTTAATAAACTTGAAAAAGGGAATCTTTTTTAAAATGTATAAGCTGATCTCATAACTAATACACATAAGTTGCCCCACATGAATTTTATTAAAAAATATAAATTTAAAAAAAGCTTATTTATTGAAACTATGGCACAAACTATTTTAGTAGTTTAGGTTGGACAGTATTTAATCTATAAATTTTAATTAATTGTAGTTTAATTTTATTGGATTATCTCAACATTATTTCATGGGAATTCATGTTAAGATATGAAAAGGCATTTTGATTTTTTAATACTAACTTTAGAAACTTAGGTTAGAGTAACTCTAGGATTTTAAAAGTATATGATTACTAATAAATGTTCCCAATTGCCCTAACATTTATATCTATTATTAGGTTTTTGTTCAAAATGCCTTTTCTGTTAATTTTTAGAAAACATTTTACCTGATAGTGATTTTCACCTTTGCTTTTAATTTAAGGGCATTTAACCCATTAAGTTTAAAAGCTGCATTTCAGGATAGCTTTTATTTCAGGGTTTAATTCTGCTCTTCATGGGGTGCACTGACTGGTCAATTGCTTTGCTACAGCTTGCAGTTTTTGCTCGGGCCATTGTGACCCCCAATAATTTAGCATTTGAATAAAAGACTTTGCTTAAGTGTGAACATACAAAATCATCACCAAGATCTATTTTTTATTTTGTTTAGGTTTGTTCAGTATATAGCAATTTAATTCACATCTGGTAATTTACTTGAAAATTCAATACCTCTCTAATGAGCAGAATTTCTTATAATTCAGCAGTTATGGACAATTTAAGACAGGAGTTTAAACTAGTGACAATTTACTGAACATTAGATAATTTTTAATCACTAGTTCATCTCTAAAATTGCAATAAAAATGAGTATGTCTCCTTACATTTTAAGTGTATACTTTTAACTATGACCAAATACAATATAATTACTGTGTTTAACTTAAACTTTTAATACAAAGTATAAACATTTTAATTACAGTGACAACACTAGATTGATCTTTAGAGCTTCATCATAAAAGTCAACTACTTGTTAAGTCTTAATTATAATTTTTATTCAATGAATAAATGTTACAAATTAGGGAAAGAATTCAGAATACTTAAGTTTTAATTCTTAATTTACCTACTTTAGATAGGTTTTAATTGACAAGAAATTTGTATTTGCATGTAGAAACAATGACTTAATGTTGAATAAGGATTAAAATAAAAGACGATTTTCAATTTTCCCAGGAAACACTATTGCACTTAAATTCATAACAATAATGCCCAAAAAATAGAAATGTTTTTAATTTTAAGAACACATTAAAATAACTAGCATATTTTTATTATTAAAGGTTTTTATAGCGGAAAAATTGTAAGTGCTAGAAGATTTTATGCTATTGACCTATGTGACATACCTGTTTTATTCTCAATTTTATGACCTAGATCAGTATTTAAGAATGAAGATTTCAGCCATCAAAAGATGGTTTTAAAAGCTAGACAATATCAAAATAATTACTCAAGTTAAAAAGAATATTTATTAAAAACACTAAAATAAAAGCCAGATAAAATTATAGAAGCACCACCAGCAACCTAACTAATGGTTGCCATAGATACTGCTTTTAACTTCAAGAACATGAATACTCTATCAGTGTAAAGTACACATTGACTTAGATTTTGACTATCAACTGCCATTTTTAAAGGTAGGCTACTTCTGATAAATCTGTGATTCTTTTTATAACGTTAAAACATTATGACTAATTAGATCATGTGTTTTTAAAAACAAAAACCAGTGCAGCTTCCTAACGGGCTTAAAATTCAGACCTAAAATCATCCATTATGAAGTACAACAATGAAGGGACAATAGCATTTATTTGTAAAAGTTAACAACACATTAAAATTATAATACAACTATAAACTGGATGATCATTCCGTAAAAAAGTTGACATTTATGAATAAAATTAGTTTTGTAAAACTATTACATACAAAATTTAAAATGGAGAGTGATAACTAATTTCATTATCTAACAAGAATTACACTGGGAGCAGCTTAAATGTCCAACCCCTTGTTTTAATAACTACATATATACATGACCTTTTAGTTAACAACCTTGCAGCAATTAATAAAGTTCAGGTTATATCTGGCACAGTCAATAGCATATTAGCTAATTATTAACATCAGCCAATGTCAATAATATAAAACAAGCATTCTGCGAACCTATCTTGCCAGGGCAGTGGTAGAGCACAAGAAGTCAGTTGTATCACAACTCAGAAGGTTCAGTATCCTCCACCTTGGGGAGCACGGGAATATGGGTGAGATCGTGCAGGTGCTCTAGCAGCTCCCCGGGAAGATGGTGGGGGAGCTTTACCTCCAGTGGTGCCCCAACTATCTGCTGAGAACAAATAAACCTATTTTAGACTTCATGTTCAAAACTTTCAAGAAGCACAATTGAAATCTGTTTAAAAAAGTTTAAAGACCTACCATAATCCCCATATCCACCTGCACTACCATATGAATCGTAGGCAGCTGATGAAGTTGCAGAAGGGCCCCCATAGTCATAATAAGCTGCATCTTGGCTATAGATGATAAAAGCATTTAAGAAATTCAATCTAAACGCCAGCAGATTTCAATAAGAATGGTTTATAAAGTAAAATAACAGGGATGTGACTAGACCATGAAAAAAATTAGGAAATTTATTTTGAGATAAGAACACACAGTTACTCTACTAATTTTGATTAATATAGCTAATATTTTAATTAAAGAAGTTACTCTAAAATAACATTGAAAGTCCTGAGTTGGAATTTAATGTTTACATATCAGCTTTCAAAAATTTTTTTTTTACAATGCAACGAAAGTGTCAGTTTTTTAAAAATCTAGTTCTACTCTTGGTTGCAGTTAAATTATGCCATATATTTTTTTAAAGATTGGCATGGTAAAACAGTCTTCAGCTGTAAAGAGCCTAGATTTGTATTGATATCTGAGAAAGTTTTGGTTCATGTGACGGAAAATAAAATGTAAATTAGCAGAAATTAGGAAGGGTCTGATATTTGAACCAAATTTCCTATTTTGATAGCCAAGCCACATCGTTATTTATGCTTTTAGAATAGTTGATAATTGTAACGGGCCATGACATCACGTTTGTTTAGGACAATTTTTAACCCCACCCCACTTCCTGTCACTAAGCAGGATCCCCTAAAATGATGTCACACCTCAACAGATCCCCCCCCCCCCATTCCCAATTGAATTTGAATATTTTTTTTAACATGGATTTTTTTCTCTAAGATATTTACTGAGTTTTACCAACATAGGGTATTAGAATCAATTTCTATTATAATTTATTAAAACAATTCTCTAAAATGCAAAATAGAGGCTAAAATTCAGTTTCTAACATTACTTTTTTTAAAATACAAAGGTATGAGGTCACACTGGAAATTTGCAGAAAATCTGAATCTCTAACTAGATTAACATTTAATCATTATCTTAATCTAGCACAATAGTCCAAATGAAAAGAAATAAGCGTATTCGACTGTCCGTTTGACCAAAGTACTGAAATACTCGATTTAAATAGGAATAGGTAGAATGCGCATGTGGGGTGTTTCAGTAGAGGTAATTTTCCTAAGTTAGAACCGAAAAAATAGCACAAATTGAAAATCAGCGGAAAAATTTCTAGCTAAAAATCGGAAGTCACATCCTTGATAATAAGCATATGAATGTGCAATAAAATAAAAGGTGTAGGTTAAGGCATTTAATACAAAAACAGTTATATAATCTGATGAATTATATAAAGAAAACCAATTCATTTTCTCATATAAGCATTTAAAAGCCTATCAAAAATGTTTTATTATAAATTTAAGTTTTAATATAAACAAAGGCATAACGGACAGCAAATGAACAGTTATTGTGTATAATAGCATGAAAAAATAAGTATACAATATGATATAATAATATATATAATAATATATAATTATGTAGCTTTCTAAATGGCACATTGCATTGTCATCACTTAGGCAGAAATGGGTTTAATATTGCAAGTTTCCACCCATGATGGAGCAAAAAGCTCCTCTTTCAGACATAATCCATAGGCAGTTGAAGTTGAATTGTTATTTTTGGACATCTGCTTATGAAGGGATGGTGTGGTCAGCATTATGCCCAGTCAATTTTACTTTCCAGCGTGAGTCAAGTATAAATCAGAGGTGAGTAGACTCAGGGACAAAACAAGCATGAAGAAAAAGCATGGGCAAAGAATAAAGTTAAAAAAAATCTTGAAATAAAAATAATCACCCTGCTGAATAGCTTTGCCCATAACCTTCATCATAAGATGAGTCGTAGCTTGTACCATAGCCAGATCCATAGCCCTGAAAGCATTTTTAAATAAGTAAGACAGTTTTAACATACAATAGCAAAAAAAAATGGATGGAGACCAACTGGGCGGTTAATATTCTAATGTGACTTGAAAACTATAGTTTGTAAAAATGTTTTACTAAAAAGTATCTTGTTCCCACAAGACTCATTGGTGCACTAACATTTTAAAAAAGGTTATTTTTGTAGAATCACTATCATTGAGATAAAGTATGCATAGCATAGCCTAACTAAGCAATATATGTCTGGAGAAATGTAGCAGTAACACAATTTAACAAACGTATTGAAGAAGTATGTAATTATTTAGTGATGTAATCCTTATTTTAATGGGGTGTCAACGAGGTCAGGTAGAAAAATGCATGGTTGATAACCCCCTAAGTAGATGAGGCTTTTTAGCTGGGGACAACCATCTAGAGTCCAAAACAATCTGGAATGGGATTACCAACACAATTTCAAGTTGTATGGGTAATGCTTCTCCCTTCAGTCCATCAACTGTGTGGAGAGGGGGTTGACACATGGGCAACAAAAGCATCCAATCTAAACCCTGGAGCTTGTGATTTATTTTGATTTAGCTATAAATCCCATCATTATGCATTTTTTTTTAAATTACAGAACTGATAATCCACCATGCTCTAAGCAAGGCACATAGATAAACAGAAAGACCCACAAGCTAGACCCCCTACCAGGAAATTAAATTTAATGCCCTTGTGGGAACCCTAAATAGGTACCAAGACAAACAGATAGTGCAATGGTTATTTAAACTGGAAATTTAGGAAAACAGTGTTTATAGAAAGGGGATAAATGCATATTAAGACTCAAATACCAATTGAGCAGACAATGTAAAATAGTAAATAGCAATCATATTAGAAAAAAACCTGTGAACTGTATCCATCATATGATGCAGAAGGAGCAGCCACACGTGCTCCTCTAGACGGGGCTCCTCTTGAGGGAGGTGCTCCCCTAGAAGATGGTGCACCCCTGGGAGCTCCTCTTGGTGGAGGTGCGCCTCTAGTGGCAGGTGGTGGGCCACCTCTGAAATGAACACATTTACAATATCCGTTAAATAAAACACTAATCCCTCTTACATTAATACACTGCTACCTAATTACATCAAGAAACTAAAGTATTTACCTTCCAGCTGGTGGTGGGGGAGCCGGCCCATTTCCACGACCTCTAAATGCACCACGACCACTGTAATGATAAACACTTAATGTTAAGATAATTTATAAAAATTAAATTGAGTTAACAATGACAACCTGAAAGAATGGAATGTATCAAGGAAGGCCAGTATAATCCAAGAGACCAGTCACAAAATTTCACCATGCAACTTGGGATATAGACATGATATTTTACTTTTAAAATAGAATAAAATCTCGTTGAAAAAAAAGAATTGCACACCAAATGAATGCCAAACAAAATGTGTATAATAGTGCAGAATATTATTAGTACTTTGTAAATTCATATGCGTTTTTTGAGAAATCGGAAATAGCGTAAATTACTACTACCTGTCTTTTTTGAGAAATCGGAAATAGCGTAAATTACTACTACCTGTCAACGGAAATCACTCAAAATTTGAGAGAAGGCAGAGAATTAGATCATGAGAAGGCATGAGAAATTTCATACATCTATCTGAAATAGTACTAAAGTTATAGGCTTTTGAACAATTGAAAGTAGAAAAAGTTCCACTTCCGGTTATCAGAAATCGCTGAAAAGTTGATTCGTATCTACAAATTTGATATAATACTTGTATATAAAATGTCATCAACCTAGCTGTAACGGTACTAGTTATTGTGCTTACAGACACACACATAGACATACAGAATTGCAAAGTCCAGTTTTTCCGACTCGATAACGCATAAAATGCCAAAATTTTGATTAAAATAAGTCCACTACACTCCGGATCTGATGAAGCACAGGTGTAAAACTATGAAAACTGTCAAAATTTCATGTTATTTTTGTGCACGATTACAATACTTTCTCTATACTCTGTATACAAGAAAGTAAAAACATTTGAACCTAAACTAACAATTTTGATAGCCAAGCCACATCGTTATTTATGATATTGAAAAAGCTGTAGATTGTTAAAAATGATCATTATCATACTTTTTCTTCCACAATCAAGACACTGTCGGAGTCACAGTGAGTTCACATTAGTTTTGAAATCAGTATAGCTGCAACGGCATACTCACAGCAGGAAGTATCTAGTTCTAGAAATTCGCGTGTTAGTCATGATTTCATTGTATTTTTCTCCATGCATGTTATTTAAGGCATAATTTTAAATCTACAATTGCAAATACTAAAAAGAACGTTCAGAAGCTAGTTTGGCCACATCTATTAATGTAAATATTGTAAGTAAACAAGGAAACAAACGTGTCAAATGGAGATAATTGCTTTTCCCTGCTATTTTTTAAAATTCAATTTAATAATTTCCTTTTCCAAAAAGAACATACTTCGACAAAAATGGGATGGCACAACAGGACACGAGGAAAGTCTCTGTATTACTGACTAAAAAATTTGCATACTGAGAAATTCAGAAATCCGCTAAAATTTAGAACCTTGACCACATTTAATTTCTATTTAGCATCAGACTGAGTGATAACTTCCAATTGAAAAAATTTGTGTAATCAATTGTCTGTATTACCTAATACCTGTACTGTAGGCAAAGCGTAAAACTCAATTTAAATAGGAAAATATGGAATGAGCATGTGGACTATTCTGTAGAAGTCACTCCCGCTTTTTTTCCCTTTAAGTTTTTAAAACTGCTGAAAGATTAGGTAAGTAAAGGGTAAGAAAAAAATCAGATTGATGCTTAAAATCTGAAAAGTCACATCCCTGTTCATGGAAGATGTTAAATTCCAGACTTTCAAAAAATCCAGCCCAAAAAACTAGCGTTATACCAGACTAAAGTCTAAAATACTCTTCCCTAAATTCGAAACTCTGAAATACATTACTGCAAGAGAAAAGACATCTGGTCCAGAAAAATACTCACCCTCTTTCTGGAGGGGCACCTCTGTAAGCTCCACGACCTCTGGGGGCACCACCTCCATTCATCCCTATTTCTTCTATGCCCATATCACCACCACCATACATCTCATCAGCAAGATCCTATTGCAAATTTATTATAAGTTAAACAAGTATAAAATAGTCTAATTCAGTTAGTTCTTAAGCCTTGCTTGCATAAAAACTTACAGGAATGACAAATTTCCTTAATTCTAGCAATGCAGCCGCAAGCCTGTGGTAACCATCAGTGACATCAGTGAAACATTCAACAAGTACATGCAGATCTTCATTTAAATGTGCATATTTCCCACCTTCCTTTCGTAGTTCTTCTTCCTGGAAAAGAAAAAACAGCTATCAAAAACAGCCCAAAATTCAAGTTATTAATTAAGTCTAATAGAAAAATAACTTACTTTCTCCTTTTCCCTCATTGAACCTTTCCCCATAATAGCCATTTTACAGCCCGTTTGATCTTGTAGAGCTTTAAGAGTCTGGCCTTTGGGTCCTAACAATTTCCCAACAAAATTGTACTGAAAGAAATTTAATAACACATAAATACTCCAAACAACATAACAAAAACTATAAATCGATTGATGAAAATAATGACTTACTTTTGGATGTTCTTTTATTGGAATTTTAATTTTTAAGGAACATCTCTGCTGTCTGTCATTGTGCAACTCATACATAGGAACAGCAGGTCTTTCTTTTTTATCATCTTCACCCTTAGTTAATCTGTCTATTTCTGAAAAACCATTAAATCAAAATTATGTGGGTGGGTCTAATGCCTCGATGATGCCAAGTATCAGGGGGTAATTAATTTTGACTATGTACATTTAGAAAAACATTTTAAAGATTTCTACTAATCTAAGAATTTTTTAGTATTGAAAATATGGCAAAATTATTCTAACATCTTACACAATATAAAAATAATAACAAAGTCTATTAAATATACTTTAATATGGGTTTAATAAATATGGGTTTAATTTAACATTTATTGTCATACCCCCAAAATCAACATTCGGGGTATATGGAGCCAGGCAATGGGGCAATAAGTATTATCTCATAGCTTAGACTAACTCCACAATAAAAATAATTAATTTCTAACCCCAAAATAGTTAATGCTGTGTACACACACTAACTGATACTAGCTATCACTAGGCCCCAATGGGCCCGGTCTACAATTGATACAATTGCAGGTGTACATAGGGCCTACAGTCTAGTAGTTTACAGTAGGCACATTAGTATGTCTAGTGTGTAGCTGTCCAGAGTTAACATTCTTAGATGTAAAAAGGGGTGGTACTAACTAATCTGCCTTAATGCTTTCCCCTGATAAGCCATGTGTGCTATGCATTACATAACATGGAGGTGAGAAATGTTGAGGAGAGAGCATTGGTAGTGGTTTCCCCTTTGTTCTCTTTGCTGGACCCTGAGGGCCATAAATTACATAAGGAGATCTCTCTGGTTGGCTGAGATCTAGGAACTGCAATCCACGTTACCTACCAAGAGATGAAGTTTTATGGTGGGCCAGAAACTGGTGGGGGCTGGGTATCATGGGGGTAAGAAATTGTAGGGGGGGGGGGGGGAGTGGTATTAATGTGCCTGTTTACTTCCCTGCTGGACCATGAGGGTCATAAATTACATAACATAATACCCCAGATTGGCTAAGACCTAAGAACATTTATTCCTGTTACCTACAAAGAGATTAGAAGTTTTATGGTTGGTTAGAAACAGGTGGGGGCTGAGTCGGCTGTATTGCCCCTCAGGGGTAATAAGTATGTGTACCATTTTAAAAATTACCTGGATAACATCAGATGGCTGAATTTTTACTTTTCAGCAGGTTAGAATTGTATTTCAATCATTTAGACACAAGTCTGTTTAACAATTAATACATTTTGTGTTAACTATTCGTATACTAGTGTCATATTCAGTGGTCTAATAAATGAGAAACTTGCACAGAGGGTATCAAGAGCCACATAATATCTGATATAACTTTTCTGAACAGGCAAGCCAGTGGACAAAATGTATTCATGTAGGCCTTGATTTAGTTATTATCTAACAAATAAAACCATTAGGGTAATGATCAGTCAAGTTTTACTCTGATAATGATCAAAAATTTATAGCATGGTAAAATGGGACAAATGTCTGCCATTTTGTTTTGGCACCAATAATAGTAGGCTTCTAGTCATATAGATCTATATAAACTAGTCTCTAGGCTACATTTTAGTATTTCTCGCTAACTTGGAGGCGTGGTCGGTTGCTAACAACAATATGGCGCCCGGACCGGATGTTTGATTTCCGGCCAAATTCCAGAGACCTTCAACTAATTACATTTAAAAATGTTTACCACGCGCAAAATGGCTAGATTTCGGCTAGATTTCCGTGTCATAACAACAAACCTTAAGTGGCAGGGTTAGATATGCCAGAAAAGCATTTTAAAATTTGGTTTGGAGAACGGAGGCTAAATTCAAAAGTTGGTTTTATTAACATTAATAGAATTTAAAAAATAACAGTTTAGGTAAAGAAATGAGCGAGAACGTAAAGCATTATTAGTTTTATTAGTCTATGAAAAAAGAAATCAAATATTGTGAGCTGTTTTTTTATAAGACCGGCGTCCGTATCACAACCAATTTATTTTTATTTTTTAAAAACCACGTGACCGCTATTTGATGATTACTAGTGAGGAACTCTGGGTGCATGGCCACTTAAAAAGTCTAACCTGATTTGTGGTTTTCTTTACGTTCAAGCTTAAGAAGAGTTGTCATGGAGAAGTGTGTTGGCCATGGCAGTGAGTGTCAATAAATATTAAATTAAGTAGGCCTAATTAGGGATTTTGGTAAAAAAACACTAATCATCATATAAAAATAAAAATTACATATTCTTGTAGAGCTCAACTATATGAAAACAAAACAAAAAAGATTTTCTTTCTAGCTCAAATAGTTTTTTTAAGCGAATTTTTTTATGAGGGGTGGAATCCCCTTGTTTTTGCATTGGCCTATTGTGACAAGTCATGGTATACCTGAATAAATTGAGCATAGTTATTTTACTTGCAGTTGTATTTTGTTCATATTTGCAGAGTTTAGCTAGAATGATATATAGAACTTGTAAATGCTTTTGAAATGAATAAAAATAATACAGAACTTATATTTTTTTGTTGGCTTCCTCCCATAACCCCAAAATACTGTGTTCTGCGCAAATATGAAATTGTTTCTAAAGCCATATTTTATATAAATACAGCAAATGAAAGAACTACAAAGTTAAAAATCTAAAGTAAATGACTTGAACACTGTTATGTGCATATAATATTATAATTGCCTCATTATTTTGGGCAGGTGAAGTAGAGTCCATCTTTAAGCCATTTTGTTATAAAACTGCTGCGCAAATATGAAAATGTTTCTAAAGCAATATTTTATATAAATACAGTGAATGAAAGAACTACATAGTCAGAAATCTAAATGACTTGAACACTGTTATGTGTATATAATTGCCTTGTTATTTTGGGCAGGTGAAGTAGAGCCCATATAAGCCATTTTGTAATAAGTGAAATGAAGTTATCAGATCAATGTTTTTATGTGTGAATTGTGTATGGATTCTAATTTTCAGCATATAACTATATCTAATGGTAAGTAGAACTTGAATACTTAAAATTACAGTTAGCACAATGCTAGTGTATAGCAACAGACAGGTAACCTAGGTCTGACTCTTGTCAGTCTAGATCTAGTCTGACAAAATTGGATTTTAGGAAAAACATATTCTGCAAAACTAGAACTAAAGCTGAAAAAATTAAAGATGGGTATGTAAATATATTTTGAAAACAAAAATTAGGAGATTTGTTTGCACATTCCATAAGAATGCTGTTGTTAGTTGATCAAACTTAAAGGCCGGAAAATCGGGATGAAAAAATATAACAATGGTGGCAACGCGACCTACATACAGTGACCACCTCTGGCTGAGTATATCTAATGTCGGAGTCAAAATATCCAAAAACAAATATCATTTCCACATACATAAGATATGTCTGCTCAGTAATCTTCTCTCATCTAGAATAACCTTTTAACAAATCGTGATTCCATACAGGGGGAAGACCAAAGCAAAGACAGGGCGCTGTCAGATCGCTAAACCATCAAAACAATGGGAAAACCATTGGTCTACTTTTCATTTAACATTAGGAAATGACCTTTTAAACTTAATTAATTACCATAAATTAAAAACTTATTAGTATGCAAAACCAAATCTCGTGCGCCCTGTATAAAAAAGTAATGGGATATTTCGGGTCATTTTACCGCAATCGCGGCCGATACCAACAACCCTAATAGACAATAGTGCACATTCAATATTCCAAATTTGGATTTTTCTCAAGTTTTGACAAACGAAGTGTCTATTCACAGCCGGCTGTGAATAGCCGTATTGGGGCTATTCAGTCGTGACCGTTTTTGATAGATTTAACTAGGCATGAAGATGTGTGGTCGAGTGGTCATAGGGAGAGGCTGTCATGCCAGAAGGTGGGGGTTCAAATTCATCAGATGCCAAATGGTCTGACCCTTAATGTATACCTCATAATCTTATCAAAATATTTTTTTCACAATTAGATCTAGATTCTACTTGAGTTACTCATGGAAGGGTTATTTTTGTTAATTTTTTTTTCGTTTGTGACGTAATTGTTGGCATATCAGCAAAAAAAAAAGACCTGTCCCGTAGATTTTTGCTAAGAGAAAAAACAAAAGTGTGATGGAAACTGAATAATAGCTGATGAAAAAGGACATCCTATTTCACCTGATATTTATTCTAGATCTAGACCTCTATGTGATAATGTGAATTTTTAATGGTAATTGATAGTTGAATAGCAATGTGAACAACCAAATAAACTGATGCTTAATTAGTATTATTTATTTAAAAATTACTAGATCTATTATTCTAGTGTATAGAGTTAGAGTGTATAATTGATCATCTAATCATCTATGACCTACGTAGCCTGTAGCAGATATGTCTGATATGAGCCTAAAAGTTAAACTAAACTTTAACGGTAATAACTTTTTTATAAAAATATAACAAAATAAAAATAGCACTGCTCTCTTAAAGTTAATCTATACCTCACTCCCCAGTCACAATAAATGCTTAGCCTATATTATTTTAAGATATTATTCACAGTCGTATTTAGTATGAAATGACAGCCGACTGCGAATAGCCATATTGGGGCTATTCACAGTCGGCTGGGAATAGCCCCAATACGGCTATTCATCCCAACCGACTGGGAATAGCCTTGGCCTTTGACAAAATTAAATTACCTAAAACTAAAAGTCATAAAGAAATTATAAGCCTAGTGTTTTTCTACACACGTTTGTGGCCTGGCCGACGGAAAAGAGATTGTTTATATTATTGTTTTGAGTTTATATTTAACTCAATGCAACGAGCCTGCCGGTTGGTTGAGGCCACAACGGGGGGACGTTCTGACCGGGATTCAAAGGGACGACTCGAAATATCCGATCTATTTAATTTTAAGTATTGTACTACTTCTAGATAGATCTAGACTAGGATTTTAATTAATTTATTATTTACCAATGGCCGGCTTTTCCTTGTTAATTGCAATTTCTAAAGTCATAGTCGAAAATATAACCTCAGCAAAGAATGTTGATATCTCGAGTAGATCTAGATTAGGGATTTAGGTATAAACACAAATTTCATTATATTAAAATAAAAAATATATGTTCTTGTAGATCTCAATCAGGAGAAAACAAAACAGAAAAA